TTCTCTTTCCCTCTCTTTAATTTGTAGGAGAGGGTAAAACCAAAATAATTCAATTTACAATAAATTCAATTTGTTCGGAAATTGGTAGCACGCAATAACACAATAAAATAAATCCTTGTCGAAGCAATTCCTATAAAAAAATGTAAAGAATTGCTGTAATTTTTTATGAACACTGTATTCAAACAAAAGTTGTATACATGCGTTATTCTTTAAATTTTAATTTATTTATTGATTGAATTTATTTGTATTTGTATAATTTACGAAGCTTAGCGCATTTTGTAGAAAAATTAAAGTCAAATTTATATAACTTCTCTCTCTCTCTCTCTCTCTATGTGCTTCTATGGATAAAAATACTATTCAACAATTTCAAAGCGTTCCTAACAAATTAAGTCCGGTACATTAGGAGATAATTAATTTAATACTCTGGTATACAAATTTCCGAGAAAACTCACTAATTAGCTTTGGCGTGGGCATTAATGAGAAAATAAAGTTATAATTCATTAAATTTAAATCATATAAAAATACTTTATTAAAATTTTTAATGTCGATTGTTTAAAGTTTTTAAATTAATCTAAGCGATTTTTTACATTATAAAATTATGTGAACTTAATTATTTATATGTATAAATAAAATAAGCAATCAAGAATATTTTAATTAAAATTACATCGTAGATGAACGTACAGTATGTATAGTTGCTTTAGGATTATTGATCGCCGCTAATGTATCGAATACTTAGAAAGCACAGCACCATAGCCATGTTAGTGTACGGGTAACCTTGCTCCATTGAAATAACGGGTCTTGAACACGACGATTTAATTCATAACGACCACTTAATGCACCCTGCGTGATGCCCTAAGCTAAGCATGACTTAACCTTTACACTTTGTGTGCCCAACAAGCATCGATAATCCAAATCGAAATTCATATATATACGTTAGACATATATATTAATATTCCGATAGAGACATTGGTATTCCAATTATCGAATAGCGTAAGTTCCGAATTCAAATACTCGTAATAATTCGAATTCGTGTATGTACATCAATTAGATAATTTTGTAACCGATTCGCATAATTCTTCAAACATTTTAATTGTGCATTTAGCAATTTTTTATGGCGTTGCGACTTTCCGCTTTGTATCGCTGCAACAAAGAAAGGTTTGGTACGCGGTAAAAAAAGTGATTCATTTATTACATGTACGGCTAACCTCGTGGGATTGGAATTACAAGTCTTGGACGCGACCATTTAAATTATGACCGGCACTTAATGCACTCCGTGTGTAACTATAAGCCGGAGCAACTCGACAACTTCATAGAGGCAGCGTGCCAGGAACTCGTAATTGTTTTGAATTAACGATACTTTAGGCTGCGCCCAACTGCGAACCATTATGCGGTTCGTCCATAACGATTGTACGGTCCGATTGTAGTACTGGTACATATATATATATATATATGTACATATATATATATATGTGTATATATATATACACACAGCTGCATCCTCTGCTTTAAAAAAAGTAATTTTAAAAAATCACTATTTTTATATTCGTCGTGATTTCGAGGTATTAGGATCTCATTAGCGACGCTCGCGCATTTCGGTCTGTTTAATCACGCACAGTTGCTTTTATTACTTTAAAAATAATTGCGCAACGGGAGCTGGAAGTGGCGTTTCATGTACTAGAAAAATGCAAATTCGCCGTACGTCCATTAACTGGCGAAATAAATATTTCGGCGGTTTTTTTCGTAAAGGAAGAAATGGTTGACCTGCTTTTTGAGGCCATGACACACAGTGCCGTTAAATCTAGTTTAATCAATGGACGTGCCATGTTACGTACATAGCATATACAGTGCGCGAGCATATACATCGTGCATACAAACGATACGGTAACAAGATTGGCGTTTACCGATTCTCTTTTTAGAGTGTCTTCAAAATGCATGTTTAGTAATGGGGGGCCGATTCGATTGACTTTAAATTTAAAAATCTGTTAAATTAAATTCATATTTAAATGATTTTATCGTCAATATATGCTTTTACAGCTTAATTCGTCGAAGTTTTTCCATTTTCAACTGCTTGTACATGAACATTGACGCTCCTGTCGAAAACGAACGTTATTCTTTTAGTTTAACATGTAAAATCTGTAGCCAGAGCAAATTGGGTAGGGCGCTGTACAAACGTTTGAATATAACACAAAGGTTCACGTTTCAAGCTAAATATTATTGAGTTAACGAGCTTTTTTTGACAACTCTTCTATTTTCTTTCTTCAATGTGATTACTATTTTGTTATTAATAAAACAAATGTTATTTTAAAAATGCCGCACTGGAAAAAGCGTCTGGTTGCATTAATTTTGGAATTTTGGTTGAAAATGAACAAATTAGATTTTGTTGAATCTATTAAAATTCCAGTTGAGATATATATAATCAGAAATCTGGTTGATATGAATCAGAAGCTTCTGATTCGTTTATTTCCAGAAATTGTTCTCAATGCATTATTCATATTACATTCATCAGTGGTACATTTATTCGTTTAATATATCCGGAGGGACGTATCCGATTTATTTTAAATTTGTGGTTTTGCATTCCAAGTTTTGTGACGATTGATTAAAAGGGGCTTATTTTCGCATTTTCGATTATACAATTTAAATTGCATCCTTCACGCACCTCGAACGATTAATGCAAAATATTTATGAATATTTTAGGCACATTTACGAGACGTTTACTGATGTATGTAACGAACGTGTTAGGCTAGGATAACTGGGACGGCGATATTAATATTGATAGAGTTTATCTTTATTTAATGAGAGGTGAAAATTAAACGAAATAATTAATTAACGTGAAATCAATATGTCGTGGCAGTAGTACGTGAAAATCACGTTGACAAATTTTAGTTGTGCTTGCCCAATATCGCGAAGGTGCAATGGCGCGTTTGCGCAACGACAAACATTTTTCTTTCCCGATATTCGCGAGAACGCCGAAAGTTTATATTAAGGCAAATGCATACACGGCCGCGGCGAGTGATGCTTATGACGCACCGGTGAATTATTGGCGGGCATCGAGTAATGCTCGTGACGGGGAACATATTAAAAGTCTGATATATTATGCCGTTACCCAGACATCTTATCCAAACGCCATTTTACGTATCTGTAACTAAACACTTTGTTGAATGTCTCAAGAACTACAGATCTTTTATAATTATCATCCTTTTTCAGGCGCGTACTCTTTAAATTCGCGAGAGAAAAAGACCGACGCGTTCTCCAAACGTTCCTAAACGCTACATATCTCTGACAAGAGTCGAGAATGAGTTAAATTTATGACACATAAAAGACGGAAACGCCTGTAATTATATGACTAATGTACTACAGGAGAGGAGTGATAAAAGTTACAAAGAACAAGAAGATATTTTAACATTTCATCTTTTCCTGCATAATTTAAAGAAGAAATTTCTTACCGTCCCAGACAGCACAGAATATTTATGATAAATATTTATTACTACTCATTTTTTTAAATGTTATATAAATATTTTATACATATTTTATGTAAAATTTTATTCGTAATATTATATAAAATATTTAGTCTATATATTAAAATATACACTAAATATTTTCTATAATATTTATGATAAATATAAATAAAATAATTATTCAAGGAGCATAAAAGCCAACGCAAGATATTAGTGCAATGTCTATTTATCCTTCATATATAACGATAATATAACGATAAACGTTTCGATCTTATTGTTAGATTACATCATCTTTAGTATCAGAAAAATTATAAAGTATCTATCTTTAGTCTTACATTATTTAACGCCACATAAATTTTACATATACTTGTATGATGTTTTAATAGTCTCAATTAATCCTTTCATTTCGTCCTATAAGATTACACCTATCTTGTGTTATCAGTCCAGATTTTTCCATAAAACGATCTGACATCTTAATGTCTCACACAAGTCCCAATTTCTGTGAGAACAATAAGCTCGTCAATTTCTTTACAATAATTCTTGTAATGTTAAGGCTAGTCCTTGGGCTAGTCATGCGTAATAAATTTATGTGGCGTTAAATAATGCACGACTGAAGATAGATACCTTATCATTTATGCTCTGATACTGAAGATAACTTAACCTAAGGTCGAAACGTTTATCGTTATATTATCGTTATGTATGAAAAATAAATAGAACATTGCACTAATATCTTGCGTTGGCTTTTATGATTCTTGAATAATTATTTTTATTTTTATTTGGTCGGAAAGCCGCTATTATATAGAATTTAATATAAATCGATATTTCATGATATTTGTAATAAATGTTTATGATCTATTAAATCTAAGACCACAAAAATATTTACAGATTATTTAAAATAAGTTTTATATATAGAGCGATGAAATAAGTATTTTTGTACGCCCTGCATCTTCAGCGCGAGATAATTTTATACTGGGTAATGTATCCTAATCTCTTAACAGACAAATATTTCGAAAAATATTCTCGAAACCATTACACTTTTGTCTAAAATATTTTCCGTATCTTCTATATTTTTCGAAATATTTGTCTGTTAAAATAAAAATAAAGAGAGAAGTACATGTTACTAAAATGACATCATAATACGTTATCTCAATTAAGTACATGATAAAGCATTATTATATCTCAAACAACACACAATATTTAGAAAATATTTGCAAATATGTAATATATATAAATATTAAAAAATATTTACGTATTATATGGTGTCACTTCAGTAACATGCACTTCTCTCTTTATTTTAATTTTAACAGACAAATGTTTCGAAAAATATGGAAGATGCATTTGAAACATTTTAAACAAAAGTGTAATGGTTTCGAGGGGGATACTTTTCAAAATATTTGTCTGTTAAGATATTAGGATGGATTACTCAGTATAAAATTATCTCGCGCTGAAGATGCAGGGCGTGCAAAAATACTTATTTCATCGCTCTATATTTCCACCGGGTTTACGTAACGACAGTAAACAGCGATAATGGCAGCATACACATACCTTGTCGATGTCTATCTCATCTTGAGCATTGAGATCCGGACAATTGAAGATGTTGTTCGTATCGATGGCATTATCGCCCCTAGTCAAACCGGCGAATACCAACACCAACACGCACCACTTCATCGTTAGACCCCGAACTAATTAAACGCGAACCTTACAAAACCCAGTTACGACAGGGCAATTAATACAACCACTCGCGCTCGTCAGATCTCCCAATCTTTTGTACTGATCTCGTACGTCTTTACTTACGCGCGCGTATGTACCGTGCCCTTCCACGTGAATGCTCAATTACATCTGTTCTATCCGTCGTTATCAATGTAATGTACTTTAAAGGAGATTTCTGCTCTTCGCTTTTGCGTCTTTCACCATCGCCGCCTTGGGTGATATCTCAAAAAGATTCCAAATATTCTCTTTTTCCTCTCACGTTGTATTTAAGTTTCTTTTTATTGAAACAGCAAAACGCTTCTTCGCGACAGTATAGCGACGTCGTGAACCAAGTTGATCAGGTCACGCGACTCTGTTCTAACTTCAGCTCTCTTTCTCTCTCTCTCTCTCTCTCTCTCTCTCTCTCTCTCCCTCACTCGCCTTATCACTATTACACTATTTGCCCGTCCCGTTCTCGATGCCGAAGTGATTTAACTTAATGTCCAGCGCGCCTGTAGGCCGCCCCGCTTTTGACCCACAATGATCGAAGCTCCTTCAGCGCATCGTGCCCGATCTCCCGCGAGCGCCTCCACTTCTACGCACTTCGGTTCTCTTCAGATTCGCCCGCGGCTCGCGGGGAAAATCGGAGTACCACGCGTGGAAAAACGCGCCACCGAAAACTTTACGAGCGTCACTTCTTCCAGATGTCCATCCTAAATCGATCAAGTGTTTCTCGAGTGGAAGATAAAAAATTTTTCGCTTTTCACTCGAGAAAACTGTAAAACGTGTTGTATTCACTTCACTAAGAATCGAGCGACGCAACGAACCGTCGCCGTTGACACGTAGCGATAACTTTGAAATCCTACGAACGATCGCGCGGAGCTCCTTCTCTCGGAAAGAGGACAATTTTTCCGACGGTTACTCCTCTCTCACTGGTATAGTAAAATCCCCAATAATCAGACAGGACGTTTTCGCCGACGGATTTTCGGAGATAATTCCTGAGATACGGACAGAAATACCGTGGCGATGTAATCGAGAGAAACTCGAAGGCGAGCTTCGTAATTCCGCGCGGAATGAGGTTTAGTTTCTCTCCCTCTCTCCGATCCGTTTGGTCGGATTGCTGTACCGTCGTTTTCAATTTCCGTTTTCGCCCTCCCCTCTCTCGTGGCTGCGAAAGCGAGCGGGCTTTCTCGGACAGTCGCAATATCACAAGCGTATCCACCGAACGATAGACGGATAAATGGATGAGACCTATAGGTATCGTACTATTCGTTCCCGTTCGCGTATGCGTATACGATCGCGTAACACGATTCGCAACACGTCGCCGATATAGCCGCGATCTCCGCAGGGAGGGATGTGTACGCGACGAAGTCGGAGGGCACTCTGACGTTCCAGCTGCTCTGTGCTGCGCTGGTCCTCGTTCGGTACAGCACGGCACGCCACGTCCGTCCTTCCTCCGTCGCGACGCCAGAACGGAGCGAGAGAGTAAGAGAGAGAGAGAGAGGGGGGGGGGGGGGGGGGGAGGGGGAGAGAAAACGACGTTGGGCGGAAAAGCGACGGAGGAGATCGCGAGGGAATCTGAAAACGGAGACAATATGGGATGGCCGACGGGACTGTTATCCCCCGCTGTTCGCTATGGGACCATAGTCATCTCATGATACCTAGTATCGCGCGATAAAGATGTTGCAAATTACGAGATACAAACGGGAAGGTACAAACGCGGGTGGAATAGAAACCTGTGAACCTTTTGAGAAACTTTACTGATACGCCCTATTTGTGCTGCGGAAAGAATTTGAATTCTTTCTTTAAAAGAAACAGTTAATCGCCGTTTTGATCTTAAAGATGTGGTTCTTGAAAATATAATTATTATATTTTATAAATAAAAATTATATTTGAAAATAAAAGGATTATCCTCTGTATAAGGTATTCTGCTTTTTAAACATGAAAATACGAAAAATGCGAGCTTTTTTAAACCGAAAAGAATATTATTTCTATGCGATGTTTCCTCCGTGCTAAAGAGAAATAATTTTAACTCAAACGATCTTATGACATATACAATCCATAAACATTGAGATAAGTGAAACACTTTTCTTTTTGAGAGCCTCTTCTTTTCCTCATGGATTTATTTCTATAGAAATAATTCACACGGATAATTCGCCACAGATGAACGATTCTCTCGTAGCCTGTTGCGGATAAAGCGATAAATTACGAGAATTAACATTAAATTTTTTAATACATTTAATACGTTTCCTTATATAATTCTAATTTTTATGTGCATATAATTTTATAATTCTTCATATGCTTATATAATGGTAATTTTTATATATCTATACATCATTCTTTATTCGAAAAATGCACAGATATATGGGAAAGGAAAAAGATTACATGTGAAAAGAAAATTTCACGAATATTTCGAGCTTTACAGTTTCCTTGGAAACTTCTCCTTGAAACTTCCTCTTTCGAGTTTCCACAATACCATCGGGATCATATCGACCGCACCAAATATCTTACACCTCAAATCGTACTCATAGAGCCACAATAGCCGAATCGGGAATTTCTGCTGGGCAAGATAGGGCTTTGGATTGACCGACATCTTAATGTTTCACGTCTTATTACGCGTTATCGTTCTGAAAGAGCAAAGAACCATTATTACCGCAATTGAAAATTACACGATGATATTAATTTTGAAAAAAGAAATATCTAAGACGCAGCCATTACTTTCACACCTCTGAAATATATAATAATGAGAAAAAGATTAATTCAAAACCAAACTTTGTTAGGAAAGAAGTGATTCTTCACAAAAAGATTGAAATGGTCTTTGCTTAGAAAAATCGACTTTCACGGAAAAATCAGTTTGAGATCTTTTTTTAGGAGGTCGACCTTTTTAGAGAATCAGAATAACCTTTATAAAGCTGTGATAGAAATCAATCGACTTGCAGACCTTTTGAAACTACCTTTTGAAAATACGTTCAATTTTTGTGCTGCTGAAAGAATTTGAGTTCTCTCTAAAAAAAAATTAATCGTCATTTTATTTTATCTTAAAGAGACTGTGTCGATCATTTTATATATTTCCGTACATACATATTTATCTTCCTTTATTTATTTGCATAATTTATCTTTAAAGTGCATGGTTGTGATTTTGCAAGTCCAGAAAGATTTTTTGTTTCCGAAAAAAGTCTTCCGCATTTACACTTTTGCATTTACATTCTTTTGCTTAGACGCGCAAATATTCCTCTTTGTAATTGTAAACCTTCTTGCTTCTCTTTTATATAAATGAACGAATAATCTCTTGTAGTTAATACATGTCTAATTACGAGATCTAAGAGTGACGAGAAGTATCTCAAGGACAAAGTTGTAATCGTTAAACCGACAATTTCATGGCTTGCAGAGCACAAAATGCAGCGAGATAAAAAACGCGGGAAAATGCTGGATCCGCAAAGAGATGTGTGAGCAATAATAGAGAAATGAGAGAGGAAGAGAGCATTGTACCGGAAACGGCAAAGAGGAGGATAGAACTCGTGAAGCTCTGCAGACCAAGATGATAAGACGTGAGAGAGACGAGGAACGGGACGCGGGGAATGAACGGCCCGGAGCTGTGTCCATCGCCATCGTGGTGACCGCATCGCTACAATGAGAGTTTAATTCGTTCATTGAAACCGCCGTATGGCGCAGTCCGCGTGCTGCCATCGTTGATAGAGTAGCAACGACGAGATCGTGAGCACCCGACTCTGCGAGCCAAGATGTCTGGAACGAGTCAGAAGTGCACTACGTATGCCACGAGTAACCGTGTAAAGTATCTGGGCAGGTACATGTCTCTTCCCAAGTTTTCCCGCTCTCACTGGCGAACCACAGGAGGTCATGGAGGCTCCTCTTTTTGGTCTCCTTTTTTAAAAATATTTACAGCAAAATGTTATATATATTTTTAATATTTTAAAAATGTTCACTCACACAATTCTAATATTCTAAAAATATTTTTTAATTTAAAAATTCCTAGATGTAAAAAATATAGATTTTATTATTCTTTTTTTTTGTATTAATATGATTTTAAATAAAATGTTTTATGAATACATTAAAATAATACTTTTATGTTCATACATTTAAATAAATTTTTTAATGTAATAATTTAAATAATAATTTTATGTTCTATCTTTTTATATTTGATGTTAAAAAAATTTTCACTTGAGGCGAGCCAATGGCCCGATTCACAAATTTCTGGATCCGCTAATGTCTGTTCTCCACACACCTGCGTACTACAAGTAAAATATTTTTCACGTCGCTTAAGAGAATAAAGCGCGTTTACACACATGGAGTTCATTTATATTTAATATTTCCGTGGACATAAACCACGCCTGTCCAATTTGAGCTCAGGTGTCAAAACACAAAGCCATCGTAAAAGAATTCAATGTATGTAAAATTTCGGAGACTGTAAAGTGTTGATACGCATCTAAGTGACGCTTATTAAATACTTTATAGTTCCTAAAATCTTACTCACATTGAATTTTTTTTATTTCGATGGCTTTGCGTTTTGGATGGGAGTTCAAATTGGACAGGCTTGACACAGACTCTCTTAAGAAACGTCGAAGATCATCATGTTACTGCGAGATCTAATTGCGTTTTCTGCGTAGCACGAAATAATATTATGCTTTGTATTAATGGGTTTATTTTGCATTTCATAAAGATATTAATTACATGCGTGATATAATTCAAATGTAATATGTCACGTGAGGCAAAATACTTGTTGGGAAGGTGCTTGTAAATGAAGAATGCGAGATAGTGGAGCTTCTTGTAATATCTACTATATTTTTTCAAAATTAATTTGCAATTTCAAAATAAATTGCATTTTCAAAATTAATCTGTTCTTTTTTATTTTATTTTTTTAAATCGTGTTTGTTAAATATTGTAGAAGTCTTTCTACATTTTTTCAAGGTATGTCAAATGTCAATTAACTTTACAAGGATGGAATTAATATTTAAAAAACATTTTTTCAAAAATAATCATTTTCTGTTCTAATAATTGATAAAAAATAATTTCTTGCGAACGTCGAAGGAATTTATTATTAGGATATAAAATTTTTAAAGTTACAAATATTGAGCAAATTCTATCACTAAGTCAATAGGAATAATTACTGTTTTTTTTTCTTAGTAACTTAATAATAGTAACTTAGTAACTTAGTAACCTAATATTTTAGCTGAATTTTTGTTAAGGCATTTTATGTAAATAATAATTACTAATAATACTACACGATATTGACCAGTGTACGAAAGTATAAACAAAATTCTTTACTGGATTATTAAACAAATTAATATTTCCCACAAAAATTTACAATTTATAATATTGCGAAATGTTTATAAAAATGTAAAACATTCGAGATATTTGAATAACTTCAAAAATGATTTTTATACTTTATATTATATATATTATATATTATATTTTTAAACTGTGGAATTAATTTAAATTACTGTGATATATCGATTGAAATAGAGCAGCTTACTACAGAAAATTATCGTTTCCTGGTATTTGTTACGAAACAATCGATGTAATTCACGATATAAAAACTTTGTTAAGCTTCTCAGGCAAAAAGGAAACGAAAAGCAAAATGCAATATCATCCTCATTTTCTACCATTCGGCTTACGGTATTATTAATTCTCCTCGCTTCAGAGACGTCACGAATTCTCGGCGGAGAACTATACTCCGAAGTTGTTAGCCCGTACTTACCGGAATGACGTGCTGTCAGTCTTGCTCTCCAAGGAGATCGATTGTTAACTCGGCGTTCGCAGCCCATTCCTTTTTGCTGGTCGACCGCGTTTCATAAGTTCACGAATGTAAGTATGACTAATCGCGCAGGCGAAGATGCATGACTCGT